GCGGCGAGTTCGACGCGCGCCAGGCAAGGTACCTGCGGGGCGCAGCCCGCTTGGCCCCGGGCGCCGTCGTGCGCGTGCCGCCGCGGCGCGCTGGGGGCGGCCGGGGCTCGAGGCCGCCTGTTCACCCTTGCCCTACTCAGCGGGCGGTGGATGATTTGGCTGTTAATCATCCACGAGAGCACTTTCTCTTTGGTTACCTGAGTTGGCACACCTTTCATTCCAAGTGAAGCAGAGCGAAACGTGTGCCTGATTTTACTTCTTTAGGTGGGGAGTGCTTGTTAGGGGTGGTGACAGTGTGCCGGACAGGACCAGTGTAGTGCTCAAACTTTCTGCTCTTCCCAGATCTGAAGGCTGTGGGGTGTGCCTGGGGAGGCCACCCGCTCAGATTTGCACAATTTCGCTGATTAGATCATCTCTGGGCCCCATAGATCTGTGATTGTGTTAAGGTGTGACACTTTTTGGGGGGTGGGGTGGGTTTCAGTCTGGTTTAGGCTGGTCTTGAACTCACTCTGTAGCCTAGGCTAGTCTCGAACTTGCAGCAATCTTCCTGCCTCAGCCTTCCAGTGCGCATGCCTGGCTTGGTATTAACTTTGAAGGTGTTAAAAGTGATTAAATCAAAGACAGTTTTTTTTTTTTTTTTTCTCTTTCTTGAACCAAGACTGGAACCCAGGACCGCATGCTTGCCAGGCAGGCACCGTGAGGCTGAGCTATATTCCTGGCCCCAAATCAAAGATACCGTGTCTTAAAGTTTGCGAAATCGCATGGTAGCAGAGTTTCATTAACCATTGTGTTTTAACTTTTTCTTTCAATGCAAAATGCAAAAAGCTTATTTTCCTATGGACTTTCTGGACCCTGTCCTCTTTTTCTTCACTTGTAGTTGAAAGACAAAAATTTTTTTGTTTTGTTTTTGTTCTTCTTAGGAGTATAGCTAGAGAGGTAGCTCAGTGGTTTGAGCACCTGCCTAGCAAAAAAACGAGGTCCTGAGTTCATTCCCCAGTACCAAACAAAACAAAAAACGAAGGGAAGAACTGATTAAAGGGCCGGCCAAATAGCATGGTGAGTTACAGCACCTGCAAGCAGGCATAGGAGCCAGGGTAGGCCATAGGAGGCAATTGAGACAGGGTAGTGGCATGCGCCTGTAATCCCAGCTTTTGGGAGGCTGTAAACAGGCGGATCACTGTGAATCCAATCTTGTAGTGAGACCCTGAACACCCTGTAAACCCTTCCCTGAAATACAACAAAAAGGAGTATAGCTGATTTTGGTCTGAATTGAAGTTATTAGGTCCTGTATGCATGGAAGGAATATAGAGTCGGTTCTTCACTGTCAAACATTTTTTCTTTGCTTACTTAGCCTCTTGATTGTGTTATAAGTTTTCTGCCTCTTAGGATTGGTAACCCAGAATCTATACCCCTCAGGACTGCAGCCCGCTAAGGTTGTGTTCTGACCTATTTAGCCTTTAGGAGTTACACGTTTTGAATATACTGTAATCCCTAGTCCTAATTTGATAAGGGTTATTAGCAGTTGGGAATGAGGTGGGTGGAGATAACTTTGTAAATGTTAATCTACTGGGAGGTAAAATGATGTAACTACAAATGCTTTTCTCAGGGTATCTGAAATAATTAAAGGCATTCTTTTTTACAGGAGAAGTCAGAAAACCAAATTATTTTTTGGAAGAGGAAAAAGTGTGTAGTGGAAAAGTTGCTCTATGCTAGGTGTTAATTTTAAATCCACAAGTGTTTGTCATCATTATTCTTTTGCTTGCTTTCAGAGATTATCTTGAACATATAACAGCCATTGGCCCCAGGACTACGGGAAGTCCAGAAAATGAAATTCTGACGGTGCAGTACCTTTTGGAACAGATTAAACTCATTGAAGTTGAAAGCAACAGCCTTCACAGGATGTCAGTAGATGTGCAGCGGCCCACAGGCTCCTTTAGCCTTGATTTCTTGGGAGGTTTCACAAGCTACTATGACAATATCACCAATGTTGTGGTGAAGCTGGAACCCAGAGCCGGAGCCCAGCATGCTATCCTGGCTAACTGCCATTTTGACTCAGTTCCAGGCTCTCCAGGTGTGTGTCTGCTTAGCAGTCATCTTAAGTCATTGCAATACAGAAAGTTTATTAACACAATCCTAAACTCCTTGAGCAGTTGTGGGGACCATTTTTGTGGTTGAACTTTTTTTCAGTGTGTTGGAGGACTGGATAATATCGGTATAGAATCTAATCATACTTTTTTTCCTAAGTGCTTTATTTTTATTTATTTTAAAATTTGTTTTGTCTTTTAAGACAGGGTTTCCTATGCAGTTCAGGCTGGCCTTGAACTCACTTTGTAGCCCAGGCTGGCTTCAAACTCCGCAGTCTTCCTGCCTCATCCCCCTGAGTTCTGGGGATTACAGGTGCGCACCACCATACCCAGCTCACGTTATTATTTTTAACATAATACCGGCAACTCGATGACAGTACATAAAGTTTCTGATGTGCCCTTATCAGTGTTACTGGACTCTGTGTGTGCCTGTGTTGTATAATCACATTCTGTTGCTTCAAATGTTTATGCAACTAATTGCTGTAATAGGTTTTGGGGACTTCGGCTAATGAGCAGTCTTTGACAGTGATGCAGAGCTTGAAGGACATCACTTTTAGTATTTTCTGTTGGCCTGTGGAGGGAGAATTTTGATCCATTTGGAGTGTGCCACATTGTTAGCTAATTAGCTTAAATTCTTGCTGTGAAAAATAGAATGCAATACTTAATGTTTAGCACAGTGACTAATAATCATATTTGTCATAAATGAGAATTCTCAGAATTACTTAATAAGATCTCAGAAAAATGTGTTCAGTATTTAAGGTGACAATAGAAAATAGCATTTTACAGTGGTGGTGTAGCATTTTAGATCCGAGATGGCATCTGGCTCAGCTTCCTCATTTGACACTGGAGTGCGTTTAGCTGATCACTACTGGTGAGAGGTGGACTTGGGATCAGATGCTGCGTTTCCTGCTTAGGCAGTTCCTGCAGCTGCATTTTGGAAGGATGTTTTAGAGTCTAGCTAGTGATACTTTCGGTTCTCATCTATTAAATGGAAATAGAATAGTAATTTCCCAGTAAGTGTTGCTCAGAGGATTAAATATTCTGGAAAAGCACCTTTCAGGGAAAGTCTACTTTTTGGGGAGTATTTTAAATTTTTTGTTTTTGTTTAATGTATTTGGTATAGGCTCTCACTACGCAGCTTGGACTCATAGTGATCGATCCTCCTGTTTTCAGCCTCCCCAGCACTGGGATTACAAGCATGCTTTTAGATTACTTGACTGTATAGCAGCTCCAGTATAGTTACATAAAATATAAAATTTATTTGTTTGATAAAACAATTGAGATCAGAATTATCTTTAATTAGAAAGCCAGACACATTTAGCCTGTACTTTGCTTTTTCAGAAGTTAATATGCACTCATTTAGTATATAAAGGCAGAATTGTGGATTCTGAGGAAACCAGTGGTATTTATGTCCATTTGAAAGCAGTAATGAAACGTCACCCCACATAATAGCATCATTATTATAATGCTCAAAGTTTGGGAAGGTGTAAACAAATGCCATGGTTGCTAAAGAACAACTGTGTATGATGTGTAAAATATCAGAAAGTGGTGTAGATGAAAAAAATTTTTTTCCGCTACACTTCATAATTTTTAGGTGGCGTAGAGCACTAAATTATGAAAAGATAAGAGTAACAAGAAAAAGGTAATTGCTGTATATATATCACATATACATGGTATCCAGGGAAAAATGAGTAAATTTCAGAGAGTTATGTTACCTGGTTTGTGTAGCATCAACAAAGACCAATGCCTTTTTTTTCTTTTTCCTTATGTATTTTAGTACAAGGTCTACAGGGTCTCACTACACAGTTCGGACTTGTAGCGATCCTCCTGTTTTCAGCCACCCAAGAGCTGGGGTTACAGGTGCATGCCACCATGCCCAGTATTAGTTGCCCTGTCAGTGTGCACTGGGGCGGGGCTGGCATGGCATGTGGAGCTGGGGATCAAATCCAGTCTCTGTGTCTGCCAAAGGAGGCGCTTTAATCCGCTGAGCTGTCTGGTCGGCCGAGCAATGCCATTTTGAAGAAGAAAGAAGAGAAAGAAAAAGGACTTTGAGTCTTGGGCAGCAAATTGTGAGATGGCAAGTACAGTGTATAATAAAGGCTGGTTAGTAAAGTTTATCATCTAGACGATAGATTTCCTCTGATGCTGTCTGTTGGCCTATAAGAGTTTATAGTTGTCTTTGGTGGTCAGCCCTTATTCTTCCTGTTAGAGGGAGCAGGGCAGATATCTTTTCTTGTACTGTTTACTTCTCAGTAGCTTTTAGCTCAAAATAATATTTTAGGGTGACTCTTCTTTTGAGACAAGATCTTGCTGTGTAGTTCAGGCTGCCCTTAAACTGGTTTTGTAGACCAGACAGGCCTTGAACTTGCAACAATCCTTCTGCCTCAGCCTCCTGAGTGCTGAGGCCAGGGTGTTACCCCCATAGGAGTGTTACATTTTTTCACCTTCCATACACAGTACAGAGTGCTACAAATTGTCAGAGACCTTTAATTAAAAGATGACATTCTTGTGAACCATTGGACCTTTACGTATAACTTTATAGGACCATCTAAATCAACAGTCTGAAGGAAATTTCTGTAAGTAGTAAAAATAATCTTTCATAGGTTCATCAAGTGGGGAATCACCCAAATCCTTAATGGATAATCTAATTGAGGCATAAGTTTTCTCTCTCTCTTTTTTTTTTTTTTGTATTTATTTCATATATTGTCTCTATTTGTAGTGATCCTCTTGCTTTAGCCTCCCCAGCACTGGGATTATAGGAGTGTCCCACCACGTCTGGTTTCAGTTTCTGTTTCTGGGCCAGCATGGCATGCAGTACAGGGGATGGAGCTCAGGTCTTTGCACGTGCTAGACAGGTGCTTAGACCACTGAACTATCTCCCCAGTTCTTTCTATGATGCTAGAGGTTTTTTGGGGTTTTTTTTGAGACAGGGTCTCATTATTTAGGTCAGTTTGGCTTTTCATCTTCCTGCCTCAGTCTCTCCAGTGCTGGGATTACAGGCATGTACCAACATGCCTGGTTTAATACTGAGGTTTGGACCAGGGTCTTGTGCTTTAGGTAAGTTCTGTGTTGTTGGAACTATATTCTCATCCCCATGACTGTTGTTTTAAAAGTTCTCAGCAGTGTATCTGGGACTTGGGAACTGAAACCAGTTCAGAGTAATGTTATCCCCAGAAAGGTCTTAATTATCTTCTTGGGTCTGTTTTGTAGTTCTCTAAGTCATTGATGAAAGAGGCATTGAATTATTTTTAGCAGCCTCACTTTCAGTAGAAAGGTATGTTGTGTTAATCACCCAACCTCTTTAAATACTGCAGTGTCCACTTCCTTTCACTTCATTAAAAGTATTTAACCCTTCTTTAGTTCTCTTGTAAGAGAGCAGAACTATTAATATAAAGGAACATAACTGGATAGTTTAACTTGTTAAATCCTATAAAGACTGATACCTTTCAGTTTCTTTTTTACTTTGAATAAAGTTTGTTTTTTACTTTCAAGTAACTCACAAAATAAAAAATTTGTATCATTTGGTTTCTGGATAGTGGCACTATTTACTGTGTATGCCTCACTTGATAGTATTTCACTCTTATTTTTGTTTCACTTTGACTAAAATATAATCCAGTAATGATCACCAAGACAGTGTTTCTTCTTGAGTAGGAATGCAGTCTGGAATTTAACACAGCCTAAACAAGTATTTTATGTGACTGGCAGTTGGGCTTTCCTTCCCTTGGCTTACAAAGAGAAGGGAAAAGGAACAAGCAACAGAGCCAAAGTTTACTTCTGAGTCTTTCTTGTTCTGCAGTCCCCACTAAACTCTGTCATACCCTTTGTAGCTACTGTATAGGTCCAGAAAGGCCATTGGCTGAGTTTTGATAATGTTAAGTTTCAGTCCTCTTTAAATTTATTATGGAAAATTACAAATATATAGAAAGACAGTTTATTTTTTTGTACCTGCGATTGAACTCAGGGCCTTGCACTTGCCAGACAGGCACTTACACGCTGAGCTATATCCCCAGCCCTAGAAAGCCAGTTTAATGTTAGTATATCTGTCACTGAGGTTTAACAGCAGTCCATTTCTACTTCTTTCTACAGGGGCCTCCAACTCCTTATTTTTAAGCAGATCTTGGTTGTATTGGTTCCTGGGGAACTGTTTCAATCTATACTGTGGAAAGATAAGCATGCTGTTTGACAATACCTTGAGTTATTGAACCAGACTTTCAAGTTGGGTATGGAGCCCAATTGTAGCATATTTTCCTAGCATGCAGTAGGACCTGAGTTTGATCTCCTGTGCTGTAAAACATCTTCCCTTCGCCTGAAAAACTTAATTCATGAGTATCATCAAATGGCTAGGCTTTTAGAGATTTTTGTTTTATTTTATATTATTTTATTTTGTGGTACTGGGGATGGAACTCAGGACCTTGTGCTTGTTAGGCAGGTGCTTATTTTATTGAGCTATCTCCCTGGCACCCAAGCTTTTAAAAAGATCTAGGGACTAGAGTCCTCTTTATCTCTTGATTAACCTACAGAATTGTAGAGAGTGGCTGAAGTTGGAAAGTGGCAGGTCCCAGAACAAAGAAGGCCCAAGGCAATACATGTTGCTTCAGTCAGAGCAATCAGTCGCTGGGCGTAGGTGTGTCACTTGGCACTAACTTGGTTAAATGCATAAATCAATGCTCCTGCCTTTCCTTCTATCTGAGGAGGGCGTCACCTCACCTCAGCTTTTGTCTCAATTTTGTTTTTCCCAAATAGCTCAGCAGATTAAAGCTTCTGCAAGCAGGCACAGGGGATGGGGGTTCTGTCCCTGGGCCTGCTATGCTGGCCCCACCCCTGGGGCATGCTGTCTCAGCGATTGAGACGGGGCGTGGTGGTGCACACTTGTAATCTTAGCTCTTGGGAGTCTGTAAACAGGAGAATCACTACTAGTCGGATCTGGTAATGAGACCCAGGACACCCTGTAAGCCCTTCCCTAAAATACAGAAAAAACAAAAAACAAAAACCCAACAACTTTGTTTTTCCCATCCTTTTTACTGATTCCCTCTCCCAACTCCAAGAGCTGACCCCAGCAGCACAAAGTTCCTGACTTGAGAGGGTAGGAGGTGAGACTAAGTTGTTTACTTTTTCAGTGCAGGAATTAGAGATACAATTTAGATCATTTTTGACCTTCCTGTGTCTTACTAGTTGTATTTGTACTTTTTCATCGCATGAGTCCCTTGGAAAAGCATTAGAAAATACTACACTGTCCAAACTGACCCTTCTGTAGATGTAGAATTGTCTGCAGCTTTGATGATTTTTGTAGGAAAACAAGGGAGTGGGAGTGGGAGATGGAGGAAGCCATGTATACTAGAAGTGAGTTTATTATGGAGGATATTCATAAGGATTAAGGATACAAAAGGCCTTGGGTTGCTGAGAATGCCAGTTCTTAGTATAACTGTATGTCTCGCTGGATTTGTTCAAGAGATCTTTATCTTTAGTGAGCCAGGCATAGTTCTAGGCATTGACTGTAAGTCAGTGAGCAAACCAGACAAAGGCCTTCGTGGGGCTTAGCACTGGTGGGTATAACTGTCCCCTGATGATGACTGCTGTGCTACTGGTCAGGGAGCTATTTTGATGCTTCTCTGAGGGGACACCTTCATTGTTAGCCATCATGGTTCATAATGTAAAGGCTTTGAAATCTGAGAAGCAAATATGTTTTCTCTGATTTGAAGGTGCCAGTGATGACGCAGTTAGTTGTTCAGTGATGCTGGAAGTCCTTCGAGTCTTGTCAACATCTTCAGAAGCTTTGCAGCATGCTGTGGTGTTT